TAGTCTGAACCTGTATCTTAGGGCTTGTCGTTCGATATAGTCTTAAAACATATGCCCAAGGCTTCATGTGTTCCTAGCGGCATAGTTTGAAAACTTACGCTTAAGGCTTCATGCGTTCCAAGCAGCGTAGTCTAAGTCATGAGCATGTTGTACCATGGGAGGTCTTAGGAGGTTCTAGATTCTTGGCTAAGGTAACTTACTCTCTTCTTATTCCATCGTGGCTCTAGACTACTTCCCATGATAGACCATAATGGTCACGTGATCGGTACATATATGAACATGGCATCCTACAAATCTTTGGGTACCCATAACATGGTGCAAGGCATCTCATCTAGGTGAGGGAAACGTGAGGCCAAACATGATATCCTGCAAGGAAACATGGTGCAAGGCATCCCACCTAGAAGAGGAAAACTTGGGCCTCAGAAATCACCGCGTGGTGAGAGTTCATGTGTCACTCTGGACATGATTATAGTATTACCTAGCATTCTTGAGTTTTTGTGTCTGAGGACCTTGGTCCCTTATTCTTGATTGGTACCTAGCATTCTTCTTACTTTGTAATTGTAGAGCTTGTGTGATATTGTTCTTGGTTATTAACCATGTAAGTTTTTAGGGTTCTTAATTCCTTGAGGCATAAGTTGTAACATCCATTCATAATTATATGAACCCATTATAATAGCTAGCCTGAATTATTCTAGAAAATCATACATTCATAATGAATTCATCGAGAGTTCTAGAAGGGTCTTGAATCTTGAGATGTTTTCTTTAGGCGTTTCTTAGGTTTTATCTTGGTTTAGGTTCCAAGCGTGCTCTAATCAACTTCAACTCCTGAAAATAGCTTCTTGTCCTTAGGAATAGTCCTTATAAAAAGTAGCAAGTTATTTGAAAGGCATATGACCTTGAATTATCATAATAGTCCTGGGAGAATTTTGGTCATTTTACCTCTAATTCTTGGATTTTCTACTTAACGAATTCCAATGGCTTTCAAACTTCACCACATCATCAAACGTAAATTACCTTAGGGGGCATTATGGTCATTTTACACTATTTCTTGGTTTACCTACTTATCCTTATCCAATGATCACCAAATTTCATATATAAACTCAACATGCTATAATATTCCCAGCATTAAAATTTCATAGGTAGCAAAGTTTCTTTAATAGGTTATTTTACCGTTACTTAAATTTCGAGTAATATGATCAGTTCAGGTCTTAACTAACGGTTCTTTGAGTTTTTCTTTAATATATTCTTAAATCATACTTGGTTTAGTGTTCATATAAAAATCCAAGTGATTCCTTCAAGTATTTCTTAAGAAAAGTTTAAGGTGGCTACTCAACATGTAACGACCCGAAATTTTCTACTTAATTTATGGTCGCTATTGTATACATATCCTAAACATTGGATGGGAAAGACTTCATTTAAATTCCATAAAACATATCATTTATCTTAAAACACAGCCATGAACTTGGATGGGAAAGACTTCATTTAAATTCCATAAAACATATCATTTATCTTAAAACACAGCCATGAACTTACGTGTTTTTAAAATATCTTTAAAACGACACAATAAAAGACCTGAAATAAAATAAATAAGCGGTTAAGTTAAAAACATCTTATTCTAGCCTAAGTCTAAGAAAATAAATATCACTATCCTATGCATGTACTATGGTCTAGAGTTGCGATGTCGTCGTCAGTCGTACAGGAATGCCTTGCCTTAACTTGAAAAAAATATAGTAGCACATGGCTTGAGTATTTTAAGAAATACTCAGTATGTCATCCACTATTGAGGTTAAATGCAACAATCACATGCGAATGAGATGATGAAATCTATCTTTCAATCTGTCTTCCTACGGTGCTGTTCTAACGGATAATTTTGGACGTGTACCATATACTATACACACAACCCATATCGGGTATGGGCTCACCAGTCAGTTCGCACACCGTTGGGCCACCTTACTTGTCGGGCGAGCATACACTGGGACGCTCCCTAGGCCGAACACCCAGTTAGAACTAGTAACCGTCACAGCAATGCTATGAAAAACATAACGATCGTTGTCCTGCCATTGGATGTACGCGTCCGTACCCTCGTGATGGAATAGGGGTATCCCCCAATTCATGAGTACACATCATGCATGAGGTCCCAACATCTTTCCATTTTCATTATCATTTAATACAACCCCGCTAGCATTATGTACATATCATATCATTTTTCATATCGTTTCAGATATCGTTCATCATTCATATCATATCATTTCTCATTCTTCAGTTCTCAAATCATACATAATTCTAACGGGGTTATATTTCATGTCATTCATATCATGTTGTATACACACAATTTAAGAGACCTAACATAACGTTCTATGCTTTTAACATAACATTTTATCATATACATATCATACCATGACATATTGGATCACAATGTATCATATCATATACAAGTCATAACGTAAACACTTCGTAGTCATATGTTCTCTAACTTATCATAGCCTTACCGTTCTTATACCTATCATAGTCATACCGTTATGTGAACATACCTTAGTCATATCATCACAAGAACGTATCCTAACGCTATTGTTCTATAAATCTATCACAAACTTATCCATTTCTACCGGTAACCTAATTGTATTCTTTCATCAATCTCTCTTATCCATATCACTCTGGTATGTAACCTAACCTTAAAGTTTCATGAACGTATTTTACTCCTATTGTTACATTTCATTTTGTGCATCCTTCTCGTATCCTATCTCAAACATATCATTAAACACATCGTACCATAATTATTATCATACAGTTCAAATATTATAACATATACATAACATATAAGAAGCATATCGATCCACAGACAATTCACACATATCAATATATATGACACGTGCAGAACCACGAGGCACGTGTCAACATCAAATATAACCATACCGAGAATAAGGTCACTTACCTGGCTAGCTTAAGTCGTTGTCACGAATATATCTTTAACGAAAGTTCGATTCCGTCCTTTGTAATCCGAGTCAACTTATATAAGCCCATGACATCAGTTTCAAGTTTGAACTCTACACACTTATTTCTCTCATTTACATTGGTCATTGTTAAAAGTCTTGAAATGTTATATATCTATAATTATATTTTTATTAAAAATCTTATTTTCCATGGTTAATGTTGTATTAAAAAAAAGTAGATACAACTATTCAAGTTATTTTGGGTTTTACTACTATATGTATTTACCCTCTGTATTTTCTTTTCCCTCTATATTTAGTTTCTGGTTTTTAATTCTTTAATCTTATTTTCTTCCTATCTGTTGCATTTTAATTTTGTTCTCATATATTCCAAATTTCTACTAAATCTTGTTTCCAAATTATTTCTTATCTCAGTGTTTAGTGTTCACAAATTTTGTTGACCATTCTATTTTTAATCTATTAATTTGGCTACGGATATAAATTTAATCTAATATATTTACTAGCATTCCTATAAATGATTGACATTGAGTCATCATATAACATCATCACATCCTTATCTAACGTTATCAAGTCATCATATAACATCATCACATCATCATCTAACACCATCACATAACATTATCACATCATCACCTAACGTCATCACGTCATCACATAACATTATCACATCATCAAATAACATCATCACATCATCATATAACAACATCGCATCATCATCTAACATCATCACGTCATCACATAACATTATCACATCATCATATAACAACATCACATCATCATATAACAGCATCGCATCACTATCTAACATTATTAAGTCATCATATTACATCATCACATCATCATACAACATCGACACATCATCATACATCATCATCACGTCATCATATAACGTCATCACATCATCATATAACATAAAGCATAAATGATACGTCCAAGGCCACTGGACACGTGTCGTCATACATAAGACAAGTCTTTCAACCGAGCCGATAGTAAGGCCACTTAAATGAGAACCNTAAGTCTTTCAACCGAGCCGATAGTAAGGCCACTTAAATGAGAACCTCCCCCGCTCATGTCCATCTCGTTTCGATCATGCCACCCCGCATGCGTTAAATCCGATTTTGTGCACATGGCATGTCGGGTGCGATCATACCAGCACTAATGCACCAGATCCCATCAGAACTTCGCAGTTAAGCGTGCATGGGCGAGAGTAGTACTAAGTTGGGTTCCCACTTGGAAAGTCCTCGTGTTGCACCCCTTTTTTTATTTCAATTTCTCCCAGTTCTTTTCTTCCTTTCTCTACAAATGAGAACCTCCCCCGCTCACGCCCATCGCGTTTCGATCATGCCGCCCCGTATGCGTTAAATCTGATTTTGTGCGCATGGCATGTCGGGTGCGATCATACCAACACTAATGCACCGGATCCCATCAGAACTCCGTAGTTAAGCGTGCTTGGGGGAGAGTAGTACTAAGTTGGGTTGACCACTTGGGAAGTTCTCGTGTTGCACCCCTTTTTTTCTTTCAATTTCTCCGAGTTCTTTTCTTCCTTTCTCTACAAATGAGAACCTCCCCCGCTCACGCCCATCGCGTTTCGATCATGGCGCCCCGCATGCGTTAAATTCGATATTGTGCGCATGGCATGTCGGGTGTGATCATACCAGCATTAATGCACCGGATCCCATCAAAATTCTATAGTTAAGCATGCTTGGGGGAGAGTAGTACCAAGTTGGGTGACCACTTGGGAAGTTCTCGTGTTGCACCCCTTTTTTTATTTCAATTTCTCCCAGTTCTTTTCTTCCTTTCTCTACAAATGAGAACCTCCCCCGCTCACGCCCATCGAGTTTCGATCATGCCGCCCCGCATGCGTTAAATCTGATTTTGTGCACATGGCATGTCGGGTGCGATCATACCAGCACTAATGCACCGGATCCCATCAGAACTCCGTAGTTAAGCGTGCTTGGGCGAGAGTAGTACTAAGTTGGGTGACCACTTGGGAAGTCCTCGTGTTGCGCCTTCCCGCATGCGTTAAATCCGATTTTGTGCGCATGACGTGTCGGGTGCGATCATACCAGCACTAATGCACCGGATCCCATCAGAACTCCGCAGCTAAGCGTGCTTGGGCGAGATTAGTACTAAGTTGGGTGACTACTTGGGAAGTCCTCGTGTTGCACCCCTTTTTTTCTTTCAATTTCTCCGAGTTCTTTTCTTCCTTTCTCTACAAATGAGAACCTCCCCCGCTCACGCCCATCGCGTTTCGATCATGCCGCCCCGCATGCGTTAAATCCGATTTTGTGCGCATGGCATGTCGTATGCCAGCACTAATGCACCGGATCCCATCAGAACTCCGCAGTTAAGCGTGATTGGGCGAGAGTAGTACTAAGTTGGATGATCACTTGGGAAGTCCTCGTGTTGCACCCTTTTTTTTTTCTTTCAATTTCTCCGAGTTCTTTTCTTCCTTTCTCTACAAATGAGAACCTCCCCCGCTCACGCCCATCGCGTTTCGATCATGCCGCCCCGCATGCGTTAAATCCGATTTTGTGCGCATGGCATGTCGGGTGCGATCATACCAGCACTAATGCACCGGATCCCATCAGAACTCCGCAGTTAAGCGTGCTTGGGCGAGAGTAGTACTAAGTTGGGTGACCACTTGGGAAGTCCTCGTGTTGCACCCCTTTTTTTCTTTCAATTTCTCCGAGTTCTTTTCTTCCTTTCTCTACAAATGAGAACCTCCCCCGCTCACGCCCATCGCGTTTCGATCATGCCTTCCCGCATGCGTTTAATTCGATTTTGTGCGCATGGCATGTCGGGTGCGATCATATCAGCACTAATGTCTGGATCCCATCAGAACTCTGCAGTTAAGGGTGCTTGGCCGAGAGTAGTACTAAGTTGGGTGACCACTTGGGAAGTCCTCGTGTTGCACCCCTTTTTTTCTTCCAATTTCTTCGAGTGCTTTTCTTCCTTTCTCTACAAATGAGAACCTCCCCCGCTCACGCCCATTGCGTTTCGATCATGCCGCCCCGCATGCGTTAAATCCGATTTTGTGCGCATGGCATGTCGTATGCCAGCACTAATGCACCGGATCCCATCAGAACTCCGCAGTTAAGCGTGATTGGGCGAGAGTAGTACTAAGTTGGATGATCACTTGGGAAGTCCTCGTGTTGCACCCTTTTTCTTTTCTTTCAATTTCTCCGAGTTCTTTTCTTCCTTTCTCTACAAATGAGAACCTCCCCCGCTCACGCCCATCGCGTTTCGATCATGCCGCCCCGCATGCGTTAAATCCGATTTTGTGCGCATGGCATGTCGGGTGCGATCATACCAGCACTAATGCACCGGATCCCATCAGAACTCCGCAGTTAAGCGTGCTTGGGCGAGAGTAGTACTAAGTTGGGTGACCACTTGGGAAGTCCTCGTGTTGCACCCCTTTTTTTCTTTCAATTTCTCCGAGTTCTTTTCTTCCTTTCTCTACAAATGAGAACCTCCCCCGCTCACGCCCATCGCGTTTCGATCATGCCTTCCCGCATGCGTTTAATTCGATTTTGTGCGCATGGCATGTCGGGTGCGATCATACCAGCACTAATGTCTGGATCCCATCAGAACTCCGCAGTTAAGCGTGCTTGGGCGAGAGTAGTACTAAGTTAGGTGACCACTTTGGGAAGTCCTCGTGTTGCACCCCTTTTTTTCTTTCAATTTCTCCCAGTTCTTTTCTTCCTTTCTCTACAAATGAGAACCTCCCCCGCTCACGCCCATCGCGTTTCGATCATGCCGCCCCGCATGCGTTAAATCCGATTTTGTGCGCATGGCATGTCGGGTGCGATCATACCAGCACTAATGCACCGGATCCCATCAGAACTCCGCAGTTAAGCGTGCTTGGGCGAGAGTAGTACTAAGTTAGGTGACCACTTGGGAAGTCCTCGTGTTGCACCCCTTTTTTTCTTTCAATTTCTCCCAGTTCTTTTCTTCCTTTCTCTACAAATGAGAAACTCCCCCGCTCACGCCCATCGCGTTTCGATCATGCTGCCCCGCATGCGTTACATCTGATTTTTTGCGCATGGCATGTTGGGTGCGATCATACCAGCAGTAATGCACCGAATCCCATCAGAACTCCGCAGTGAAGCGTGCTTGGGTGAGAGTAGTACAAAGTCAAAGTCCTCGTGTTGCACCCCTTTTTTTCTTTCAATTTCTCCGAGTTCTTTTCTTCCTTTCTCTACAAATGAGAACCTCCCCCGCTCACGCCCATCGCGTTTTGATCATGCCTTCCCGCATGCGTTAAATCCGATTTTGTGCGCATGGCATGTCGGGTGCGATCATACCAGCACTAATGCACCGGATCCCATTAGAACTCCGTAGTTAAGCTTGCTTGGGCGAGAGTAGTACTAAGTTGGGTGACCACTTGGGAAGTCCTTCTTTCTCTACAAATGAGAACCTCCCTCGCTCACGCCCATGGGAAGTCCTTCTTTCTCTACAAATGAGAACCTCCCTCGCTCACGCCCATAAAAAGAATAACCTTCTTTCTCTACAAATGAGAACCTCCCTCGCTCACGCCCATAAAAAGAATAATAAACAATCAAACAAATAAGGGACTATTATATTTTTTAGTAGAATTGCACATGCCAAATGAATTAAAAAAAAGAAAGAAAGGATTTTGACTAAATTCATTTCTTAATTATAATAAGAGAATTTTTCTTTTTACCCAATGTTGTCAAATTCAAAAGTTATTTATGAGTTAAATTATGAAAGAATTATATCAAACAAAACTGTTCCAAATTTAGATGGTTTAACAAAAATGTGGATCTAAGTTTACTTTCATCTAATAAACTTTCAAATGACCTAATCATAACTATTTATAAACACAATATTAAGAAATAAAATTCTATATTGTTTTTTTTAGAAATGGCAAAAATGATTCTCAAATTGTTCTTCTTTAGCAATTGGCTAAGTTTCTTTGCAATTCTATGTAGTTTAGGTTGCATGTAGAATCATTCAAGCTCGACATGATCAATCTTGCTTGTGGAGTGATTCGAATCTCAAGCAAGTGTTCTTTCCTTGAGATATTTGATCAACAAGAATCATTCAAGCTGACATGATCGATCTTGCTTGTGGAGTGATTCGAATCTCAAGCAAGTGTTCTTTCCTTGAGATATTTGATCAACAAGAATCATTCAAGCTAGACATGATCGATCTTGCTTGTGGAGTGATTCGAATCTCAAACAATGTTCTTGCCTTGAGATATTCGATCAACAAGGTAATCTGAATCTTACTCCCCTTATAATGGTTCATTATCTTATCAAAGGACAAATGCTTCTTTTACTATATTTTTCAAGTCTCTTGCACATACAACATACATGGTTTTATATAGCCTCAAAATGGAACTATTAAAGACATTCCAAGAGTTGTAACATTCATACTTAATGAGCATAATTAACCATTGTGTAATTGTAACCTATAGTAAATAAAAAGTCTTAAAATACATAAATGAAATACAATAACTCTAAATTGTAATCTACTCAAAATTTATAACATAAAACTTCATTATTCTTCAATGTGGCATGAATTGAAATATCTTTTGATAATTTCAACAATATTTTCTTCACATCTTCATTGAAGCATCTTGTATGATTGATGTCTCTTGGTTCATATCACTCGGTCATATGGTTTGTTGCCTCTGTGTCGAGGACCCATCGTCGGTGCTCTTGGTGATGCTGTTGCCCATGTGTTGAGGACCCGAGAGTGGTTATGTTGTTGGTGAGCCTGCAGCTGCTCGATGTTTGATTCCCGCACTCGCTGCACACCAACCGAACGAGATTTGATTCCCTCCCAAGTCGATTGTGCGGCGATAGGGCTGAATCGTGGCTTCTGGGCTGGATTGAGGTTTGGGCAGAAGGTAGAGGCCGAGGGGAAAGAAGTCGGGCTAGCTCTCTCAGATTTTGGGTTCGGGTTGACCCGGATCTGTGGATCTTGTCTTCCTTACCAGCGACGTTGTTGACTTCTAGCAATAGTGAGGAAAACGTCGACGTGTAAAAATCGGTTGAAGGAAAACTTCTTCGAGGAAAAAAATAACGAAAAAAGAAAGGGAGAGAAATATTTGCTGAAGAACCGATGGTTATTATTTGATTTAGTTTCACGTATTTCAATAACAAATCTATCCTAGATTTAGCAGTAGTGGCATAAACCTTGCGCCCAAAAAGTTGGTCAAAATGGCCAGCAAAAAATATGCTCTTCCATTAAACAGGGAGCGTTAATTCAGATGTTCAAAAGTAAAAAACAACTAACGAAATTTAAGGAATAAAACCATAGCTATTATCTAACAGGCGTTTTCGTTGCTAATATCGATCCTCTTTCTTCCTTTTCCTCTTTATTTATCTTCTTTCTTTCTTTCCTCGAAGTTTAGTGGCCTAAAAGTTCCTAAAACCATAGATCTAAGAATGTTTACAATTTTTTGACCTCGGTTACCGACGATGGCGCTTACGAAAAAGCACAAAACATACCTTGAGTTATTGTGCTTTCGTTACGGATTATTCTCATGGTGGTAACTGAGCGTTTGACGTCGATTTTCGGGTCGTTTTGGACTCGTCGAAGAAATTGAAAACTCGCCGAAGTTATCTGAAATCTCTCTCTCGCTCTCGTATTTTCTTTCTTTTCTCTGTTTGCAGGTATTTTGATCGATTCTGGCAGTTGTGGGTTGAAGGTTGAGTGAGGTGTGGCTATCATTTCGCGTGGGGTCCACGAAACTCGGCGGTCGCTAGAAAACTCACGAGTTTTCCAACGATTGAGTTTCTCTTTTTTTTTTTCTTTTTCTTGGGTCGTTATAGTGCGAGTATCAATCGTCTTTGCCAATAAATAGTTTAGAAGATAAACTGCATGACATATTTGTTGGAAATAAACTTAAATGAGAGAGAGAGAAAAAAAAAACAGTTTTTAAATTGGGTAAAAAAGCCATACTTATTTTAGGAAATGAGTAGTATATGGGTGAGAAAACATGCGAAGAAAACGTGGAATAGTTATGGCTAGAAAACTTGTAAATAGGCTTTATTATCATTGTAATATTAGAGCAAGTAGAGCAAGAGTCATAATAGAGCAAAAAGAAGCAAAAAGAGAAAAAGAAGAAAGAGTTAAAGTTCTGTGAAATCGAAAAAGGCTTTTGAGAAGTCTGTCTCCTTGTCTCTCCCCTCTCGAC